GGGGGGGGTTCAGACTGTGGCCATTGGGAGTAAAAAACGCCCCAGCACAAGTGGTCAGCGGGAGTAAACAATGCCCCAGGGTTGGTAGGCAGCTGGAGTAAGAAAAAAATACCTAGTACCTGTGGTTAATGGTAGCAGAAATAGTGTCCAATTGTTGATATTCATGGGCAGAATAGTGCCCCATCATGGGTGTCAGCTGGAGGAATAGGAATATGGACACCGGCACTGCAGATGCAGAACAAATGTGTCTATTAATTGACGAAAATGCAGCATATCAGACTTGATGCAACGATTCAGGGTCTCGCAGGAGGCCCCGAATCGTTGCATCAAGTCTGATATGCTGCATTTTCGATAATAAATAGACACATTTGTTCTGCATCTGGAGTGCCGGTGTCCATATTTCTATTTGTGCATGAAAATGGTTGCCATCCATTGATTACCACTGCACCCACCCTATTCCACATGTATAAAGCGGTCAGGAGTGCGATGAGTTCTATTTTTCTAACTGACACCAATGATCGTTTCCCATCGTTGGTGTCAGTGGGAGAAATAGTGTCCCATCATTGGTAGCAGTTAGAAAAATAGTGCCCAATTGTTGGAATCATTGTGAAAATATTGTCCCATCGTTGGAATCAGCAGGATGAATAGTGCCCCATTTTTGGTAAAAGTTGCAGAAATAATACTTTATCAGTGGTGTCAGTGGGGGGGGGGGGGGGGATAGTGGGAGAGATACTGTATACCGATAATTCAATCAATGTTATTCAGCAGAACCTTGTGGTGTCTCATGCGTCTCATTCATGTAATTTCTAAGGGAAAGTTCATGATTATAACTCGTGTGTCCAGCTGTGACGCAACTTTACATTTGTTGTAAATAATATTGTTTTATTATTGCTGTTATATTATTTCTATATCATCATTTTCTTGCCAACACACAGTGATAAGATCTGCAGCAATGGTATGTTATATTGTAGTGATGGCGATATCAGTGAAATGACAACGCAGGCAGTCCCCATGGTTACGAACAAGATCTGTAGGTTTGTTCTTAAGTTGACTGTAACGTGTAACTGCAGCCAAAACATTTTTTGTGAGATGAAATCTTTCTAATATGGATACAGACAGCAGTAAAAACCTCACAGTGACCCGGGAAGAAGAGGTGGGCACCCCTCGTCTGCACGGCTAACAAGAGCCAACTTCCTGTAATGTACGTACAGTACTACGAACCAGACCCAAAGAGGCGGACACTCCTCCTCAGCACGAGCACGGTAGCATTACAACTACCCCTGCTGTACAGTAATAGCCCCTGTTTGTAAGTAGGAGTCTTATGTAAGTCGGATGTTTGTAACTCGAGGACTGCCTGTAATTTCAGTATTAGTTATAGTATTAATAGTAATAAAAGTATTATTGCTGACTGTGCGGGTGAGAAGAGAAAGTCCCTCCTAACCCGACATCTTATATATATTGTATGTTTTATATTTATTTGTCTTTGTTTTCTTCTCTTGCAGAAGCTTTGCAATCCTAAAATGGAGAAAGCGGAGATCCTGGAGCTGGCGGTCATCTACGTCAGGAACATCATGCGTACGAAATCGCACGGTATTACTCTTTCCCATCATGTGATCTTTTTTCTTCTTCTGCCTTTTTTCTTACTGGGCGACGCGTCCAAACTTTAGGAAAGACATAGCGGAAATTTTGCAGCAGCGGCTAATCGGACTTCAGCTTTTACTTTCTACTCCGCACTGGATAAGTGAAAGCTGGAACCAGATTGGATGTTACAAGTGAGCCCCGGCTGTATTAGATACAGTGGTACCTCGGTTCTTAATTCGTTCCACGATTTCGGTCGCGAACGGAATTGGCCACGAACCGAACCAAACTGCGATCTCGACTTGAGGAAGCCACGACCATGTGTCAAAGCAGGGAAGATGGCCGCAGTTGTGTTCGCCACCCGATGCAGAGTTTGCGAACGGAAGCAAAATTTTGCTGAACTTCCTGTACGCTAATTATTCGCGAACAGAAGCGTTCGTGAACCGAGGTACCACTGTAGTAGTCATGTCATAGACACAGACACTGTGATGGAATGTTTGTACTTTGGCCGAAGTCACATGGACGATTCTACAAGCTGGTGACATGATGTTCCGCTTCCCTTTATGAAATCGCTTCCTCGCTGGCCCGGAATGATGCCAAATCTCCTCCACTACTGATGGGGTTGTAAGGTAGCTGAATCTCTCTCTCTCCTGGCTAGCAAGAGAGCAACTCCACTAGTAAGCGATCTTTGTCGCTAGCTACATGATCAGTCACGTGACATGGACCCTCCTCCAGTCAGGAGCATTGGTAGACTGTCAATGGCAAAAACAATGACAGTAGACTGTAAACTCTTGTGGCCGCAGTACAGATTCCAGTTGTTTTGTTGTATTTCAAAAATATCATTGTATGTTCTTATTTTGAACAGTGGCCCAATCGTGATCACAATATTGTTAGTAATAATACTTCTAGTACCAATAGTAAAAGTAGTAGTACAGTTACTAGCAGTAGTAGTAGTTTGACTAGTTGTACTACTAGTATTTGTAGTACTAGTAGGCACAGTATTAGCGATGCACCAATACCGACACTAGTATCGGTGCCGATGACGAGTATTTGGGCAAGTACTTGTACTCGCCCAAATGCTCCGATGCCTAGCCCGATGCCCGAGCTTCCGGTATCAGGAAGCCGGGCAGCGAGTCATTACACACTGCCCGGCTTCCTGGTTGGCCAGAAAGCCGGCTCCATGCTTTCTCATCATCTAGTGACGAGAAGCATGGAAACGGCTTGCCTGCTAATCGGGAAGCCGGGTGGCGAGTCTTTACACGCTGCCCGGCTTCCCGGCTAATCAGGAAGCCAGATGGCGAGTAATTACATGTCGCCTGGCTTCCTTAATAGGACTTCTGGTATCGGTATTCGGTATCGACGAGTAGGGGAAAAAAATTATTGGTACTCGTACTTGATACCGAAAAACAGGTATCGGTGCATCCCTACACAGTATGACTTATAAAATAGACCTTGCACTTTGGTTATGTATTCTTATTCAATGTGGCCCCTTTCCCATTCCTTAAACACTGCATACATTTTCAAAGAAGAACCTGTGGGGGGTAAAATAATTAGATAGCATACTTACCTTTCCATGACTTAGTGTCAGGGAAATGTAAGTGGTGTCTGTAGTGCACGGGGGGGACATCATTCCCCTGCCGACAAGATCCTGGGGATTGCTGAGTAGTCCCAATCTCCTGCACAGTGCAGGATTATCTTCTCACAAGATTTGGGCTACTCAACATTCTTTGAGAACTGGCCAGAAGGAGGATGATGCCACCCACACCGAGGTGCTACAGCAAGAAGCAGGGGAAAGCTAAGTATCTATCTGACACCCCAGGGTTTTTTTGGGCACTTTCATCTGGGGTTTTAGGGAAGGGGCACCTTGGATGAGTGAAGGTTACATAGATAGTTACCATGTTTTAAGGAAGTGGCGCCTTGGATAAATGGACCTTACATACATAGTAACTAAGTTTTAGGGAGAGGGCATCTTGGATAAATGGACCTTACTTACACCGTTACTATGTTTTAGGGAAGGAACACCTTGGATAAGTGGACCTTACATACATAGTTTCTATTTTTTAGGGAAGGGGTACCTTGGATAAGTGGACCTTACATACATAGTTTCTATTTTTTAGGGAAGGGGTACCTTGGATAAGTGGACCTTCCATACATAGTTTCTATTTTTTAGGGAAGGGGTACCTTGGATAAGTGGACCTTACATATGTAGTTACTATGTTTTATGGAAGGGACACCTTGGATAAGTGGACCTTCCATACATAGTAACTATGTTTTAGGGAAGGGTTACCTTGGATAAGTGGACCTTCCATACATAGTTAATATGGTTTAGGGAAGGGGTACCTTGGATAAGTGGACCTTCCATACATAGTTACTATGTTTTAGGGAAGGGGCACCTTGGACAAATGGACCGAGGCACTGAGGTTCAGTGTGCACTTTAATACTATGATCATTTAGTATTATTGCAATATTTGATGTGATGATAACAGTAATCGCAGTAGTAATTATTCATAATACTCCTCTGCATAGTTCTGTTATCATTTCCAATGATAGTTTACAATGTGATACAATAAAGAGTAGATAATACAACCTTATAGCAAATTCAGGCACAATAGGAAAGAGTATAGATGTGCTGAGCTTACAACCGAGAGCAGGGGTAGGCCACCTTTGCCCTCCAGCTGTGGTGAGACTACAAGTCCCATGAGGCATTGCACTGGGATTTTACTTTGACCACAGATGGGGTGCTGAGGTTGCCTACCCCTGATCTATAGTCTGAGGTATTAAAATACACTCTAGCCATTTCTGCACTCAGCACTCAATGGCAGCTAAAGGAGGACCAAGGGACTTTATGATGCTTTAAATGTATCTCTAGCTAAATCTTTATTTTATAGTTTTGAATAGAGCAGAGAAGGCTAAAAAAACACTTTTAGTTTCTCTTTTAGCTTTTGATGGCCCATGAAGGGGATTTCCCTTCACTTCCTGTGAATCACAGCAGGAAGTGGGAGGCAGCTTTCAAAACTGAGGGGAATTCCCCTGTTAGACAATTATCATTGGAACAGGTGCACCCATTGGAAGATTGTCCCTCACCATCTCAGGAATTTGTAAAATTTGGGATTTTCGCTCACTTTCTATCCTGTTGATAATGATCAGCAAGACAAATATAGTGAATCTCCTGAACAGGGACAGAGACAGCTAAAAAAAAGACTTGCAGACAAAAATTACTATTGCTCCAGATATGTGTCCACAATAACATGTGAACAAAAGGAAAAAGAGAGGCTCACTCCAAATCTCTCAGCCTCCCTATACTTTTATTAGTCCATCAGGTAGAGGGCAGACCACCTGAGCTACTCAATGTGATGTGAGTGACTTAGTAAGACCATATTCATAAATGGGAAGCAAATGGGGAAACTAGTTTATAAACTCATCAATTACATAATCATGTAACCAAGTCGGGTACTTGTAAAATGTTCAAAGAGCGAATAGCTGTGCGATCATCTAAGTGTTACATTGTGGCCACTAGATGGAGCCGAGGAGCACAGGAATTTCCTATGGCCACTAGATGGAGCCAATGAGTAGAGGAAATTCCTATGGCCACTAGATGGATTTGAGGAGCACAGGACCTTCCAATGACCACTAGATGGAGCCGAGGAGCACAGGAATTTCCTATGGCCACTAGATGGACCCAAGGAGTAGAGGAAATTCCTATGGCCAGTAGATGGATCTGAGGAACACTGGAACTTCCAATGACCACTAGATGGAGCCCAGGAGCACAGGAAATTCCTATGGGCACTAGATGGAGCTGAGGTATTTCCTATGGCCACTAGATGGAGCCGGGGAGCACAGGTATTTCCTATGGCCACTAGATGGAGCTGAGGTATTTCCTATGGCCACTAGATGGAGCCAGGGAGCACAGGAATAACCTATGGCCACTAGATGGAGCTGAGGTATTTCCTATGGCCACTAGATGGAGCCAGGGAGCACAGGAATGTCCTATACTTATTTGCTCCATCTACTGTCCATAATGTGCTACAACTCTAAAACCTAGACATTCGCAGAGCTGTTTGCTTCATGAACATTTTATAAATACACACCCAACATTCTCTAAGAGACACACTTTAATCTACTCAATATCTTCCCCATCCTGTACTTATAAGTTCATTACAATGTATTTTCCATATACATATTGCAAATATGAAGGACTGTACTAGGACATTGACTTGCTGTCAATAAGTGTGTACTATATACAAGTAGGCTGGTGATATGTCAATGTGTAGACTGAAACAATGTTCAGATGTTTCTCTTTAAGAACATTAGATACATCTAATAGAGGGAACTACTATCTGAACTGATGTCAACACTTGGTTACATGATTATGTCATTGATGAATGTATGATCTATTCTACCACATGACGGCTCCCATTCTACGAATAAGCTCTCATTGAGTGAGACTTGTCAAACGGAGGAGCTCCGGTGGCCTGTCTTGTACCTGGTGGATTCAAAAAGTGAGGGGGGTTCTGGCCTTACCTATTCAATACAAAAAACAAAAAAGTTTTTAGATCATTCCTTCATCCAGGTTCTTTGCCGGGTACATTGTGTAGGAATGCAATAAAAAGGGCTCATGTCATTAGACACTAGCTGTGCCTTCCATGTGGAATGACTTCCCATCTTCTTGAACGGGTCCAACTCTGGTTACTGCACCTCTGATCAGGGTCCTCCCGAGGCCGGGTTTCACCCGGTCTCTAGACCGGGTGACACCCCCCGTGTCGTCATCGTGCACTTTGCGCATGCGCAATGACGTCATTGTGCATGCGCGACGATCTGATTGATGGAGGCCGGCAGAGAGAGGAGGGGTCGTTCACCCGGCGGGATGAGGTATGCCGCCAGGTCCCCTCCTCTCTCCTGACACTGTCGGGCTCTCAGTCCATGACCGAGTGCCTGACTTTGTAGAGGGGGTGACACCAAAATGACTGTCAGTCATTTTGGTGTCACCCCTGCAACGGTGACACCCGGGTGCGGGCCGCACCCCCCGCAACCCCCTGCTGACGCCACTGCCTCTGACCACGCTGCCTTAATGAGCTCAGTTCATTGTATAGTGAACGGAACCCAGTGCAGATCTGCCACACGGTGAAGCAGCCCATACATAGGTCCATGAAAGAGAAACTACTAGACATGTGCAATTCGTTTCATTCTGAATCAAAATTCTTACGAATTTTCCAAAATTCAGGCATTCGGACACATCGGAATTTCCAAATCCCAATGCATCCGAATGCGTCCGAATCCAAATTTCCATTTCCGAATTTCTTATCCTGTCCAAATTTCGTTCAAAAACTAAATTGAATCGGACATGTGACTTTTCTGGCCAATCAGATGTTTTTTTCGGTTGAATGCATCCAAATGGGTCTGAATACGAATTTTCAAATTGCATTCTGGAGCTCCCGAATGCCGTTCGGGTCTGGGAGCCTCAGGTTTCGTTTTATGTATATACGGGTCACAATGTTGCCACTACGAGTATTCATTTATATTATAGAATACTGCTTATATATACATAATACTATGCTTTATGTATATAAAACTGATGCCCCAAGACCCGAATGGAGTCCAAATTTCTAAATGGCATTCGAGAGCTCCTGAATGCCGCTCGGGTCTGGAAGCCTCAGCTTTAATATGGCTCCCAGACCGGAATTGCTTTCTGTAGCTCCCGAATGGTATTCGGAAATTAGTAATCCCGACTGCCATTCGGGTCTGGGAGCTTCAGCTTTAGTATTAATATCTGCATCTGGTTTTCTTTGGTATTCACAACGAATATTCGTAAACTCATCCGAAACTAACAACAATTCGGATTTCCTCCCAATCCGAAACCCGAACCGAATTTTCGATCCGAATCCCGAAATATCCGAACTAAACCAAATTTTTCCACAGCTTACATGTCTAGAAACTACTAGAATGGGTTGGAGGAAGTTCAATGTGCAGTGACAATGTACAAATCACAGTCACAAACAGAAACCAATCAAATTCCCAGTTTTTCTGACCTGCCGCCGGTAGACTGAAGGTCTAAGCTTTAGGGAAGGGACACCTTGGATAAGTGGACCTTCCATACATAGTTACATGTTTTAGGGAAGGGGCACCTTGGATGAGTGGACCTTCCATACATAGTACTAAGGTTTAGGGAAGGGGCACCTTGGATAAGTGGTCCTTCCATACATAGTTACTATGTTGAAGGGAAGGGGCACCTTGGATGAGTGGACCTTCCATACATGGTGCTATGGTTTAGGGAAGGGGCACCTTGGATGAGTGGACCTTCCATACATGGTGCTATGGTTTAGGGAAGGGGCACCTTGGATGAGTGGACCTTCCATACATGGTGCTATGGTTTAGGGAAGGGGCACTTTGGATAAGTGGACCTTGCATACATAGTTACTATGTTTTAGGGAAGGGGCACCTTGGATAAGTGGACCTTCCATACATAGTACTATGGTTTAGGGAAGGAACACCTTGGATAAGTGGACCTTCCATATATAGTTACTATGTTTTAGGGAGAGGGCACCTTGGATAAGTGGACCTTCCATACATAGTTACTATGTTTTAGGGAGAGGGCACCTTGGATAAGTGGACCTTCCATACATAGTTACTATGTTTTCAGGAAGGGGCACCTTGGATAAGTGGACCTTCTATACATAGTTACTATGTTTTCGGGAAGGGGCACCTTGGATAAGTGGACCTTCCATACATACAGTGTAGTTACTATGTTTTCGGGAAGGGGCACCTTGCATAAGTGGACCTTCCATACATAGTTACTATGTTTTAGGGAAGGGGCACCTTGAATAAGTGGACCTTCCATACATAGTACTATGGTTTAGGGAAGGGGCACCTTGGATAAGTGGACCTTCCATACATAGTTACTATGTTTTAGGGAAGGGGCACCTTGCATAAGTGTACCTTCCATACATAGTTACTATGTTTTTGGGAAGGGGCACCTTGGATAAGTGGACCTTACATACATAACTGCTTCAGACTTGTTCCACTCAAGCAAAGAACTATTTTTCTTGGCCCCCATTTTCCTTTTCTAACTGTCCACCTTTCTCTCTCAGATCCTCATCGATGGGTGTCACCTGCGGAAAAGTTTTACCTTACGGGGTTCCGAGACTGCTTGGACCGCACAGAAGACTTCATCCATGACATTAGCCCCACAGCCAAGGCCCGTTTCCTCGGTGACCTGCAGACGCACCTTCAGCACAAGTTGCGTTTCCCAAAGCAGCTCAACCTTTACAGCCAAGCTGGCAAACGGGACGAGAACTTGTCTTCTGATGGGAACATCTCCCCCGGTTCCACCTTAGAAGTAAGCCTCTGCTCACCTTCCCTCAGTGGGTCTGAAAGTGGAAGCCCCCCAAGCTGGATGCCCTCGAGTTCACCAAACCCTGCTGCTTATCAGATGGAACAGAACCATGCTTCAACATATGTTTGGAGACCTTGGCCATGAAGCCAAGTGGACAAGTACAAAGGACTCTCAAAGCCTATTGTGAGACTTTCAATGATCTCAGAAGTCCTAGATGGACCCTCCCAACCACAGCTGGAAAATCTCAGACCTCATGCCAGAAAGGGGCCATATTTTTGGATAACCAATATTTTTTTGTCTTTTTATTCTTGTTTTTTTCTTTTTGTTTAAGAGAACATCCAAAAATATGTCCTCCTGCAGCGAGGGGTGGAGCTATTCTATACATTGACCATGCATTGTGGTAAAGAGATACTAAGTATCTATGTAGGGTTGTTTGGGTCAAATGAGTCATTGATATATAATATATTTATATGATACAAGGATGTTATAATGACGCCCTTGTATAGGTAATTGTAGACGTGTGTCCGCATTAATGGGTCACGCCATCGCCCCAAAACTGATATTTTGATTTTTGGATACATGGCCAGTAAATGGAATCACTCACTTTGTCTTGAAGGACTTCAGGTGGTGATCATGCAAAAGGTATTCTCACCAGGGGATGTCATCGTGCATCCGCGGCCATCTAATTGACGCCTGCCGGTGGCCATCTTGGTGATGGATGCCGGCAGAGAGAGGAGGGGACGTCACCCGACGGGATGAAGTGTGCCGCCGGGTCCCCTCCTCTCCCCTGACACTGTCGGGCTCTCGGTCCCAAAGGCGTCCCAAGGCCGGATGACACCCCACCGTGACGTCATCGCGCACACGCATTGTGATGTCACTCGCATGTGTGATGACATCATATCGCATGCGCGATTATCTAATTGACGCCTGCCAGCGGCTATCTTATGTTATGTGTGCCGGCAGAGAGAGGTAGGGTCGTTCATGCGGCGGGATAATGTATGCTGCCAGGTCTCCTCCTCTCTCCTGACACTGTCGGGCTCTCGGTCCATGACCGGGTGCCCACATTTTTAGAGGGGGTGACACCAAAATTACTGTCAGCCATTTTGGTGTCACCCCTCCAATGGTGTCACCCGGGTGCAGGCCCACCCCCCTTGTGACGCCACTGCTCGGTCCATGACCGAGCGCTCGACTTTTTAGAGGGGGTGACACCAAAATGACTGTCAGCCATTTTGGTGTCACCCCTCCAATGGTGTCACCCGGGTGCGGGCCCACCCCCCTTGTGACGCCACTGATTCTCACCCACCTTGTCTGAGGAATCTCATTATCTCTGCAGAATGTTTTCATAGTTAGAAAGCAGCAAAAGGAATGAGACTCACATAACCCCAGCAGGAGAACTGAGATCTGTTTTGGGGACACTTTTGAGGTCCCTGAGACACAAGATACTTGGGTATTAAAGTGAAGGTTTGAGGGTGGCATCCCTGTAGTGTTCCTCACCCATTATAATAAGAAAACTCCCTTTGAGTTCAGTAACATGTACATCCCCAATATATAAATATATGGATCCTGAACCATGTGTTAGGGATACAGGTTTGTATGTGTGGCTGTATACAGTATCTGTATGTCCCTTCTATATGTCGTGCATATGTTATATCAAATCTCGCATATTTGTTGCTCATTATGTTATTTTGCTGTTATACAGCATTCTGAGTGTTTGTTTGTTTTTTCTGTATTGCTTTAATAAATGCTTTAAAAACATTGCGACAGTCTTCAGTATATATTTCCAAGTGACTTGTTATTAGCTTAGCCATGACAACGCCGTGAGATAGATCTTCAGCCAACAGCAGATAGGAATGCCATTTCTTCTCCTGTTCCAGTCAGTTACCTAAAGCTGGACTCCGGGCTGAGCAAATATGGTCTAAATACCACATTATGGCCACTGGATGGCGCTGAGGAGCATAGGAGAGAAGCATTTATATATATATATATATATATATATATGGACACTAGATGGAGGGGAGGAGCATAGGAGAGAAGTATTCATATATATGTGGCCACTAGATGGAGGGGAGGAGCATAGGAGAGAAGTATTTATATAAATATGGACACTAGATGGAGGGGAGGAGCCTAGGAGAGAAGTATTCATATATATGGGGCCACTAGATGGAGGGGAGGAGCCTAGGAGAGAAGTATTCATATATATGTGGCCACTAGATGGAGGGGAGGAGCATAGGAGGGAAGTATTTATTTCCTGTGCTCCATCTAGTGGCCGTATTGTGGTATTTTCCTGATATTACATTTCACTTAAATGTACTAAGAACATTTTTTTTTTGCTCTCTTGTTCACACAAAATGAACCTTCATAAAGATTTGTAGGGTGAGGAGTTCTGTGATTTTGATTTTTAAAAAAAATAAACAGACCTCTTGGTGAGCTTTGTGTATTAGTTCCAGATCTCTGCAGTAACTCATTTGCCCCATCCTGTAATACAGAGCGGTCACTGCGGCTCTCTCTCTTTATGCAGGGTGACCGGTCTTGTCTCCGCCCCTTCAGTAATAAGGACCGGTCACTGCTGCTCTCTCTCCTTGTGCAGGGTGACTGGTCTTGTCTCCGCCCCCTCCTGTAATAAGGACCGGTCACTGCTGCTCTCTATCCTTGTGCAGGGTAACTAGTCTTGTCTCCGCCCCCTCCTGTAATACAGAGCGGTCACTGCTCCTCTCTCTCCTTGTGCAGGGTGACTGGTCTTGTCTCTGCCCCCGTCAGTAATAAAGACCGGTCACTGCTGCTCTCTCTCCTTGTGCAGGGTGACTAGTCTTGTCTCCGCCCCCCTCCTGTAATAAAGTCCACCCACTGCTGCTCTCTCTCCTTGTGCAGAGTGACTGGTCTTGTCTCCGCCCCCTCCTGTGGTTTTCAGCAGGGAGTCTGTACTGGGTGGGGCCTGCTGGGTCCCTCCCACAGCTCTGCTCAGGCTATGTCCAGCACAGCATTATGTCAGAGACACATTTACAAGGTAATATCCGGGTTTGCAAAGCATTTGAAGCACACAAGCTGGACTTAAGAAAAATATTTCAATGAAAGTTCAGATTCAAAGTTCATCTGAAGAATACACATGTGATCTGTTGCAGCCTCTCAGTCCTCAGTTTTGGCGGCTGCATTAGTTTTCTTTTTTCCCAGTCTCTTCCTGTATTTCCTCCTGGGGATCCTGCCAGTTACACACTTCCTGTCCTAGGGTGACAACGCTCACACAATGTACACTATCGATGGAAGAGAAGCGTTGTCACTTCAGGGCGGTACAACAAAACCCTCCCCTCCTACATAGAATGGAGGGGTTCTAAGGATATTCTTATACCGGCTGTTGTCACTGGTACAGAAGGTGAAGTGAATTGAAGGACGTCCACCATCATCTAGCTTTGTCCTCCCCAGCCTGGCTGTCCCTGGCCCCGCCCCTTTCATTCATAGGATTTCAATTCTTTCAATCATGGAGGCTTAACATCACATGTGGGGGGCGTTACTTAGGGCGGTCTGCATGCAAATACAACCTGTCCAGGAACACCCACTCCTCCAGATGGACACCCGCCCACCAAGGCATTTTGATATTTGCATAACTCCTCCCATAAGCCAGCCCACTGCTTCCATCATCGCTAAGGGCTGTTGAGAGAAGTACTGAGGCAGGGTGCAAAAATGTTTTCAGGAAGCTATGTAGAGCACCCTGATGGCTCCCACCACCAGCCATGTGCTGAAAGCGCCCTCCATAGATCCAGGTATAACAATCTGGAGGTGAGTGGACGGGCTCCCCATTCCCGGGATTGCCTGGTGTATGGTAATTTGTAGAGCGTGCATGTTGACGCCAACAATTACCTGATTCGGCATGTGCATGGCAACCTTGCCAGCCGATGGCATCTGCAGCCACCCATACACATGAGATCTTCATCCAAGCCTTGGAAAAGCAATGACTGCAGATCTGTCTCTTGTATACGATGAGATTGGACGTATTCTGCGCGGAGAAGCGCGGGGAACCCTGAGAGGAGCATGTGATATGAATCCAAATAACCCCCAAAAATGGAAATGTCATAAAACAATCAGAATAATACAATGTAACCATACAATGCAATGTGGTCACCCAGCTCTGTACACAGGAAGTCTCTGCACACGTAGGAAGTCTCTGCAAACGCAGGAAGTCTCTGCACACGTAGGAAGTCTCTGCACACACAGGAATTCTCTGCACTAGGAGTAGTTGGTGGATTACTCACCCCATGTGCTGTCCTGGGGGCTGGTCTCCTCCTCACTCTATACAACATGAACATTGGCAGGCTGGGAGCAAAAAGCGACTCTGGTGGGACTCGAACCCACAACCTTTGAATCTCTCCACCAACTAGAAGTCCAATGCGCTATCCATTGCGCCACAGAGCCCCGTGCAAAGCCATCACACTCCTCGGGCTCATGTACTTCACTTCCTGTCTGGAGTTCACAATGTTACTTTTCTTTTTTTACCTGTTACACTTCTTATCAGAAATGTCTGCACCCCACTGACCCCCCCACAATGATCCTTCTATAGACCAGAGGGAAATGTAGTGAGCAGAGAGGCTCATGTGATGGATGGAGTAGAAAGTTTCTAAACGGATTAGACATCAATCTGCTACAGAAGAGATCCCCAGGAATACTGAGTGACATTGTATGGGGTACATTGTGATACAGGAGAGGTGTGGGGGTACACTATGATACAGAGAAGGTATATAGAGAGGTATAGGGGTACACTGTGATACAGAGGAGGTGTATAGAGAGGTATAGGGGTACACTGTGATACAGAGGAGTTTTAAGGGAAGTATAGGGGTACACTGTGATACAGAGGAGATCTAGGGGTACACTGTGATACAGAGGAGGTATGGAGAGAGGTCTAGGGGTACATTGTGATACAGAGGAGTTATATAGAGAGGTCTAGGGGTACACCGTGATACAGAGGAGGTATATATAGAGAGGTATAGGGGTACACTGTGATACAGAGGAGGTCTAGGGGTACACCGTGATATAGAGAGGTATAGGGGACGGGGTACACTGTGATAAAGAGGTGGTATATAGAGCAGTATAGGGGTACACTGTGATAAAGAGGTGGTATATAGAGCAGTATAGGGGTACACTGTGATACAGAGGATGTATGGAGAGGTATAGGGGTACACTGTGATACAGAAGAGGTGTATAGAGAGGTATAGGGGTACACTGTGATACAGAAGAGGTGTATAGAGAGGTATAGGGGTACCCTGTGATACAGAGGAGGTAGGGAGTGGTGTATCACTGTTAAATAAGTCCCATCAATGATGTCAGTGGGAGCAAAAATGAGCCCTTCCACTGGTGGTCACTGTTCAGTGGCTGTGATATTTACCCCCCTCCATTGGAGGTCAGTAGCTGTGATATTTACCCCCCTCCATTGGAGGTCAGTGGCTGTGATATTTACCCCCCTCCATTGGTGGTCAGTGGCTGTGATATTTGCCCCCCTCCATTGGATCAGTGGCGTTGCCTTTCGAGTTGGTGGTCAGAGTTTTCTTACGTGACTCCCGGGTCCCTGAGGAAGCCACCTGAAGGGCCCCCTGGAAACCTGACTCTCTAATACATTAAAATGCCTCTAAACCCAAAACACAAATCTAATTAAATTACACTTTTCCCGTCCTGAGACGCGGCGGGTGACGAATCTTCTTTTTCTAGAATTTTCTATCTTCATTTTTTGTTGATCCCGCCAATAACACCCTTCCTGTCCCAGCGTGACAACACTCCTTCACCATACCGCACCTGAACAATGGGAACCAGATACAACTACACAACCCCTCCCTTATTCCACATAACATACAGAGGCGTGGTTCTGAAGTACACAGAGATAGATGACAACATGATATGAGTCAGCAGAGAACACAGGAAGTTGTCAGCTCGCAAGATTTCTGTGAGGATCAACAGGTACACTTTTAACTTATCGCTGACTCCCTCCATTTTGTACAGCGCTGCTCAAACTGAGGCAATTACTGTATTCAATATTGTTACTTTGCACATCACAAGCTCCTTCCTTCTATATACTCAATGGCACCGGTGACGTCACGTGAATTCACCATTGATCCCTATGGTTCTCAGCACAGTACTAACAAGGTAGCGTGGCCGAGCGGTCTAAGGCGCTGGATTTAGGCTCCAGTCTCTCTGGAGACGTGGGTTCGAATCCCACCGCTGCCAAGTGTTTTTTGTGTTAGTTTTTCAGATCACTGATATGTTTGAATATTTCACGTTCACTTTCACCGATTCATGTATTTCTGATTTATTTCGAGAGTTTCAAAACTGAAAACTGTATCATGTACATGTAATGCATCGTAACATAAGACAATACAAAGTATCCCCGACCTTTGTTTTATTTCCAGTGATGGTTTTGCAGCTTTCATAATTTTTCTCCCATTAAAATGTTTAAAACTTTTTAACTTTATAGTGTAATATCCGTTAATAAATACTGGGCGAACACTTTTTTACACTTCACTCTTCGGTGGCGGTGCTACTGCAAAATAAAAAAGGCTAGCGGTAGCGGCCATGTTATTGAAGACCTCATGGCTGTGGGGACAAACTGTAGAGGTCTCGCTGCTCTAATGCCCAAGGATCATCTCGCGAGATCTGGAAGCGGTTTCTGTAACAGTATTAGCCGCTTATTGTTGCTAGGCAACGCATGGTGAGCGGGCCGCGCGGACAGGTAATGGTGAAGCCTCGGTTTATGATATTTATAGGTACACTCGGTGGGTCTTTGTGTACTTATAGTGTCCGAAATATGTATGAATTTTAGTTTTCTTTCCTGCTCTGCACATTACCATCATAACCTCATTGGTGTGTTGTGGGAAAGTAAAGTTCTGTTGTTGGGGGTGCTGGACAGAATTCACCTCAGGACTTATGAATGATCGCCCATAGCAACAAGGTAGCTTCCGATTCTGTAGTGTTGTCAAGGAACCTGGGATGCTTGGTTGGTTGCTATGAGCATCAATACTTGTTACTGTTATTGGACAGGATTTACATTGCGCCGCTCTATATTTACAATATAAGGAAGGCATTACAGTTACAATACAAATCAAGACAAAAGATTAGGAGGACCCTGCTCCCGAGAGCTTACAATCTAAAAGAAAGAGTCATGTGGTACAAAAGGTAATGCCTGTGAGGGGTTGAAGTGATGGAGAAAGTAAACGTTCAGTTGTCGGGTGGGGGTGGGATAGGCTTCCCTGAGATGGGTTTTCAGGGATCCCATAAAGTCGGGACAGATTAGGAGATAGATGGACAGGTTGGGGTAGGGTGTTCCAGAGGATGGGAGGGGCTCTAGAGAAGGCCTGGAGGTGAGGAGGGATGTAGAGAGCTGGAGGTCCTGGAAGAAGTGAAGAGGACAGTTTGGATGAGAGAAGAGGTTAGTGATTTCAGCTCGGGGCAGTGTGAATGGCTTTGTATGTTGTTTTTAGTAGTTTGAGGTTTATTCGTTGGACGAGCGGGAACTAATGGTGCGATTGGTGTAGAACTGCAGGGGACAGAAGCCAGTGGAGGGATTGGTAGAGAAGTCCGGTTGATGGAAGCCAGTGGAGGGATTGGCAAAGAGGCGCGGGTGATGGAAGCCAGTGGAGGGATTGGTAGAGAAGTCCGGTTGATGGAAGCCAGTGGAGGGATTGGCAAAGAGGCGCGGGTGATGGAAGCCAGTGGAGGGATTGGCAGAGTGTGGGGGGAGGGAAGCCAGTGGGGGGATTGGTAGAGAGGGCAGGAAGGAAGCCAGGGGAGGGATTGGTAGAGAGGACAGGAAGGAAGCCAGGGGAGGGATTGGTAGAGAGGACAGGAAGGAAGCCAGGGGAGGGATTGGTAGAGAGGACAGGAAGGAAGCCAGGGGAGGGATTGGTAGAGAGGACAGGAAGGAAGCCAGGGGAGGGATTGGTAGAGAGGACAGGAAGGAAGCCAGGGGAGGGATTGGTAGAGAGGACAGGAAGGAAGCCAGGGGAGGGATTGGTAGAGAGGACAGGAAGGAAGCCAGGGGAGGGATTGGTAGAGAGGACAGGAAGGAAGCCAGGGGAGGGATTGGTAGAGAGGACAGGAAGGAAGCCAGGGGAGGGATTGGTAGAGAGGACAGGAAGGAAGCCAGGGGAGGGATTGGTAGAGAGGACAGGAAGGAAGCCAGGGGAGGGATTGGTAGAGAGGACAGGAAGGAAGCCAGGGGAGGGATTGGTAGAGAGGACAGGAAGGAAGCCAGGGGAGGGATTGGTAGAGAGGACAGGAAGGAAGCCAGGGGAGGGATTGGTAGAGAGGACAGGAAGGAAGCCAGGGGAGGGATTGGTAGAGAGGACAGGAAGGAAGCCAGGGGAGGGATTGGTAGAGAGGACAGGAAGGAAGCCAGGGGAGGGATTGGTAGAGAGGACAGGAAGGAAGCCAGGGGAGGGATTGGTAGAGAGGACAGGAAGGAAGCCAGGGGAGGGATTGGTAGAGAGGACAGGAAGGAAGCCAGGGGAGGGATTGGTAGAGAGGACAGGAAGGAAGCCAGGGGAGGGATTGGTAGAGAGGACAGGAAGGAAGCCAGGGGAGGGATTGGTAGAGAGGACAGGAAGGAAGCCAGGGGAGGGATTGGTAGAGAGGACAGGAAGGAAGCCAGGGGAGGGATTGGTAGAGAGGACAGGAAGGAAGCCAGGGGAGGGATTGGTAGAGAGGACAGGAAGGAAGCCAGGGGAGGGATTGGTAGAGAGGACAGGAAGGAAGCCAGGGGAGGGATTGGTAGAGAGGACAGGAAGGAAGCCAGGGGAGGGATTGGTAGAGAGGACAGGAAGGAAGCCAGGGGAGGGATTGGTAGAGAGGACAGGAAGGAAGCCAGGGGAGGGATTGGTAGAGAGGACAGGAAGGAAGCCAGGGGAGGGATTGGTAGAGAGGACAGGAAGGAAGCCAGGGGGGGGATTGGTAGAGGGGGCAGGAAGGAAGCCAGTGGAGGGATTGATGGAGAGGGGTGTCAGACACTAAGCGGTTGGTAAGATGGATGAGTTTGTTGGCAGAATTCATGGTAGACTGAAGGGGGTGTGGCCAGTGTAAGAGGTCGGCCAATAAGCATGGAGTTTCAATAGTGGAGACTAGAGATAACGAGGAAGTGAATTGATATGTCGGTGGTGTCATTGGGTAAGAAGGGGCGAGTTCTAGAAATGATATGGGCGCGAAGAAGAGCTCGGAGTCCAGGATCTTGAAAGTTTTGGGTGTCATCAGCATAGCGATGCTATTGGAAGCTTTGGGAGGTTGTCAGCTGACCCGGGGGGAGATGTAAATGGGGAATAGAAGGGGTCTGAACACAGAGCCTTGAGGGACCCTATAGAAGGAGGAGTCAGATATTTTCTTACATTAGTACTCTGGATATTTGGGCACAGGTCCTCTTTATGTGACATACATGTGGATATGGTGCAGGAATCACGTGCCGGTGCTGGAACAGTGAGGTGGCTCTTCTTATATTCTTCCATGTTCTTGTTATTGCAGATCCCACGATGACCGTCATCAACAGTCTGATTCCATCACGATTTCTGACGCTCTTGGCTCACCTGGTCATCGTTGTCACAATTTTTTGGTCGAGGGTGAGTGTCTATCTTATTTGGAGGCCACCCCTATCACTATCAGCTGACAATCTGTGGCAACTGGAGGGTGTGCTGACAAGTAATGGGATATGTCACATAAACTGTCACATGGGGCTTGTTCCTGCGCGCTCTTCACATGCTGTGGGACTACTTGGAAAATAATCCTTACTGCACTTGCATTGGTTAGTCTCCCCATGTCCCGCTGTGTGTTCTCTACTGGTTGGGGGAAATCGCTGTCACATGACCTTGAACAGATTCAACGTTCTCTTGGACAATGTGTTGCTGTTAAGCTCCAACCCCTGCGCCATGAAGCCCCACTCAACTCACAAACCAGCATGTAAAACAACTTGTCTCACCACTAAGGATAATAACAGAGGTTTGGATACACGTCTTCTGCAGAGGATGTGAAAGCCGCACTGCCACGCCAAGGCACCTCTTATAGTGCGGTCCTAACTCTAAACTATGAGAGTCTCCATCTTGGAGCACATGGGGGCAGAAGATTTCAAATTTCGCACCCAATTTTTTAAAACAACTTGGTGAGACAAGTTGTTTTACATGGTGGTTTGTGAGTGTGCCATGATGCCTTTCTACTGTTTTGTTGAGTGCGTTTGTTTTGCTATGAAGCCCTCAACCCCTGCGTCATGAAGCCCTCAACCCCTGCGTCATGAAGCCCTCAACCCCTGCGTCATGAAGCCCCAATTCGCTGCGCCATTAGGCCCCACCTCTATCTATCGCCCCACCTCTATCTATCCTTATTCTCAAGCCTGCTCCAGGAGGTTAGTTGAAGGGGGGTGTTGTCCCTTACATTGGTAATCATTAAGGATGTGCGGAATAGAGAACAAGCCACTGGGGCAGACGAATGTGCGGATCACATTGACACAAGCGAGGTGATGTCACTGCACTTGCATACCATTGTTTACTTCTTGTAGGGGTAAACAACGCAGAAGCCTGTGCATTGCACCCGCGACACACTGATTGCGGTTGCAATGCTCTGCAGGCTTCAATGCAAACATTTAATAAATGTTCATTTTTTTATTAATGTGAGAAAAATGTATTACACTTTTGCTAAAGTGAACTATGACTTCAGCACTAGGGCCCCTAGATGGGGCTGAGGAGCATAGGCAATTCTTATACAGAACCTGCAGTGAGACACAGAGGCTGCCACCTGGGTGACCCCCTGCTGATATTTTTTCATTGTATGCGCTCTTTGATTGTTTTTTTTTTTCCTGTGTCAGGTAACATCATCAGTTCATTTATTGAACTATATTGTTCTTCCCTCTAAGTTGTTCTTCCATCTTTTTACAATACATTTTTTCTTTTCAGTTTCGGTTGTCTTCTATGCCTCCTGCACCCTAAAGGTTTTTCATCTCCCTTTTATCTTGCTCCCCTTATATTAGCTCAAAGAGATCAGAGAACGCTGTGTATGATTTTATATTTAACCATCAAACCTTTTTGTTTTTTTCCTAGGAAAATAACGTTTTAGCCTGCCTGCCTGTCAGTTATACACAGGATCAGTACAATGCAGCGGACACTGAGTAAGTACTGCACCTCCCACTGCAGGGTGACACAGACAGAAGGGGGCTATGAGTCTGTCCTCCTCCTGCAGGGTGATACAGACAGAAGGGAGCTATGAGTCTGTCCTCCTCCTGCAGGGTGATACAGACAGAAGGGAGCTATGAGTCTGTCCTCCTCCTGCAGGGTGATACAGACAGAAGGGAGCTATGAGTCTGTCCTCCTCCTGCAGGGTGATACAGACAGAAGGGAGCTATGAGTCTGTCCTCCTCCTGCAGGGTGATACAGACAGAAGGGAGCTATGAGTCTGTCCTCCTCCTGCAGGGTGATACAGACAGAAGGGAGCTATGAGTCTGTCCTCCTCCTGCAGGGTGATACAGACAGAAGGGAGCTATGAGTCTGTCCTCCTCCTGCAGGGTGATACAGACAGAAGGGAGCTATGAGTCTGTCCTCCTCCTGCAGGGTGATACAGACAGAAGGGAGCTATGAGTCTGTCCTCCTCCTGCAGGGTGATACAGACAGAAGGGAGCTATGAGTCTGTCCTCCTCCTGCAGGGTGATACAGACAGAAGGGAGCTATGAGTCTGTCCTCCTCCTGCAGGGTGATACAGACAGAAGGGAGCTATGAGTCTGTCCTCCTCCTGCAGGGTGATACAGACAGAAGGGAGCTATGAGTCTGTCCTCCTCCTGCAGGGTGATACAGACAGAAGGGAGCTATGAGTCTGTCCTCCTCCTGCAGGGTGATACAGACAGAAGGGAGCTATGAGTCTGTCCTCCTCCTGCAGGGTGATACAGACAGAAGGGAGCTATGAGTCTGTCCTCCTCCTGCAGGGTGATACAGACAGAAGGGAGCTATGAGTCTGTCCTCCTCCTGCAGGGTGATACAGACAGAAGGGAGCTATGAGTCTGTCCTCCTCCTGCAGGGTGATACAGACAGAAGGGAGCTATGAGTCTGTCCTCCTCCTGCAGGGTGATACAGACAGAAGGGAGCTATGAGTCTGTCCTCCTCCTGCAGGGTGATACAGACAGAAGGGAGCTATGAGTCTGTCCTCCTCCTGCAGGGTGATACAGACAGAAGGGAGCTATGAGTCTGTCCTCCTCCTGCAGGGTGATACAGACAGAAGGGAGCTATGAGTCTGTCCTCCTCCTGCAGGGTGATACAGACAGAAGGGAGCTATGAGTCTGTCCTCCTCCTGCAGGGTGATACAGACAGAAGGGAGCTATGAGTCTGTCCTCCTCCTGCAGGGTGATACAGACAGAAGGGAGCTATGAGTCTGTCCTCCTCCTGCAGGGTGATACAGACAGAAGGGAGCTATGAGTCTGTCCTCCTCCTGCAGGGTGATACAGACAGAAGGGAGCTATGAGTCTGTCCTCCTCCTGCAGGGTGATACAGACAGAAGGGAGCTATGAGTCTGTCCTCCTCCTGCAGGGTGATACAGACAGAAGGGAGCTATGAGTCTGTCCTCCTCCTGCAGGGTGATACAGACAGAAGGGAGCTATGAGTCTGTCCTCCTCCTGCAGGGTGATACAGACAGAAGGGAGCTATGAGTCTGTCCTCCTCCTGCAGGGTGATACAGACAGAAGGGAGCTATGAGTCTGTCCTCCTCCTGCAGGGTGATACAGACAGAAGGGAGCTATGAGTCTGTCCTCCTCCTGCAGGGTGATACAGACAGAAGGGAGCTATGAGTCTGTCCTCCTCCTGCAGGGTGATACAGACAGAAGGGAGCTATGAGTCTGTCCTCCTCCTGCAGGGTGATACAGACAGAAGGGAGCTATGAGTCTGTCCTCCTCCTGCAGGGTGATACAGACAGAAGGGAGCTATGAGTCTGTCCTCCTCCTGCAGGGTGATACAGACAGAAGGGAGCTATGAGTCTGTCCTCCTCCTGCAGGGTGATACAGACAGAAGGGAGCTATGAGTCTGTCCTCCTCCTGCAGGGTGATACAGACAGAAGGGAGCTATGAGTCTGTCCTCCTCCTGCAGGGTGATACAGACAGAAGGGAGCTATGAGTCTGTCCTCCTCCTGCAGGGTGATACAGACAGAAGGGAGCTATGAGTCTGTCCTCCTCCTGCAGGGTGATACAGACAGAAGGGAGCTATGAGTCTGTCCTCCTCCTGCAGGGTGATACAGACAGAAGGGAGCTATGAGTCTGTCCTCCTCCTGCAGGGTGATACAGACAGAAGGGAGCTATGAGTCTGTCCTCCTCCTGCAGGGTGATACAGACAGAAGGGAGCTATGAGTCTGTCCTCCTCCTGCAGGGTGATACAGACAGAAGGGAGCTATGAGTCTGTCCTCCTCCTGCAGGGTGATACAGACAGAAGGGAGCTATGAGTCTGTCCTCCTCCTGCAGGGTGATACAGACAGAAGGGAGCTATGAGTCTGTCCTCCTCCTGCAGGGTGATACAGACAGAAGGGAGCTATGAGTCTGTCCTCCTCCTGCAGGGTGATACAGACAGAAGGGAGCTATGAGTCTGTCCTCCTCCTGCAGGGTGATACAGACAGAAGGGAGCTATGAGTCTGTCCTCCTCCTGCAGGGTGATACAGACAGAAGGGAGCTATGAGTCTGTCCTCCTCCTGCAGGGTGATACAGACAGAAGGGAGCTATGAGTCTGTCCTCCTCCTGCAGGGTGATACAGACAGAAGGGAGCTATGAGTCTGTCCTCCTCCTGCAGGGTGATACAGACAGAAGGGAGCTATGAGTCTGTCCTCCTCCTGCAGGGTGATACAGACAGAAGGGAGCTATGAGTCTGTCCTCCTCCTGCAGGGTGATACAGACAGAAGGGAGCTATGAGTCTGTCCTCCTCCTGCAGGGTGATACAGACAGAAGGGAGCTATGAGTCTGTCCTCCTCCTGCAGGGTGATACAGACAGAAGGGAGCTATGAGTCTGTCCTCCTCCTGCAGGGTGATACAGACAGAAGGGAGCTATGAGTCTGTCCTCCTCCTGCAGGGTGATACAGACAGAAGGGAGCTATGAGTCTGTCCTCCTCCTGCAGGGTGATACAGACAGAAGGGAGCTATGAGTCTGTCCTCCTCCTGCAGGGTGATACAGACAGAAGGGAGCTATGAGTCTGTCCTCCTCCTGCAGGGTGATACAGACAGAAGGGAGCTATGAGTCTGTCCTCCTCCTGCAGGGTGATACAGACAGAAGGGAGCTATGAGTCTGTCCTCCTCCTGCAGGGTGATACAGACAGAAGGGGGCTATGGGTCTGTCCTCCTGCAGGGTGATACAGACAGCAGCGAGCTATGAGTCTGTCCTCCTCCTGCAGGGTGACAGAGACAGAAGGGGGCTATGAGTCTGTCCTCCTCCTGCAGGGTGATACAGACAGAAGGGGGCTATGAGTCTGTCCTCCTCCTGCAGGGTGATACAGACAGAAGGGGGCTGTGAGTCTCTCCTCCTGCATGGCAATAACTATCTCCTATTCCTGCAGGTTGATTGTGGCGCTGTCGGTGACATTGGGGATGTTTGTCATTGAGCTGGCTGGTTTTTTTTCGGGAGTGTCCATGTTCAACAATACACAGAGCCTTCTATGTATCCTTTGTACAGCAAGTGTATGCAATGTAAATAGACTTCAGAGTGATATGAACACACTGTTGGTACATGTTGCAGATCTGTGTGTCTTGTGAAGTACTTCTTAGATTTTCCTTGGCCAGGGAGAGCAATTAGATCAATTTGGTGCTGAGATCAGCAGTCAGGGCCATCATTATATCATGGGGCCCCATACAGACAGTCCCCCTTTCATTTTGGGGAGCCCAGCTGACATGACATTCCAGAGCAAAGCCAGTGTGTTTCTCCACCAGTGTTACTTGTAAGTGAAGATGAGGCTGGAAGAAGAAGGTATTGTGCCGCGGCTTATCTATAAGGCCGGTTATAGATTCATGCATGTACCATCTTTTCTAGTTTGACTATTTTTGGCTGTGGGGACGCACTGGGGTCCCAGCGTGCATTCTAGATTGCTGGGCCCTCAGTGCGTCCCAGCACCTTATTAGGAGGAGTTGGCTACCTCCAGGTACACCTGCATGTAATTTATCGACTGCATTAATATGCTCACACTTGGAGGCTCGTACACATAGAGTTAGGACCACACTTTGCAGAGGTGCCTTGGCGCGGCAGTGTGGCTTCTACATATTTTTGGCCAAAAGTTTGTGCAACTAAAACCTCTGATTTTAACGCATACTGTTGACAGGGCTACTTGTTTGGTTGCAGGCTGGCTGGCAGGTTGAGGCTGGGGAATTTTTGTGTTTTGTATTGTGCCGCGGCTTGCAGGCAGACCTCTCCCTATTGGTATGCTAATAGAAGTGATGATGGGGATGTCTCTGCGCCCCGGTTCCCCTCTTTTCTTGTATTCTCTCCAGCCTGCCTCTCTCTCCCCTCCTTCCCAACAACAGCACAGTGCATCCACCGATCCCTTCCCTCGGCATCACGTGGCATGTGACGACAGCTGTCAGTAAAGCCGCTCTAGCAGAATTTCAGTGTTCACATCTCTCTCTCTCCTGTGTGTACTGTGTATGCGCTGGCCGGACCCTATTGATGAG